TGGGGTTAGGGGTTTTGGGGTTTGGGGTATTGCTGCACGCACGAAGGCACGAAGGATGGGTCGTGTTGTAGGCTTTAAGGCGAAAAGGGGAAGCAAGCACGAAACTGTGGTGGCCAAACGTTATACGTTCTCGGTAGTAACAACTAGAAAGGTCAAACATACCCAAAAGCAGACTAGACCATAAGGTAGGACCTCTCACGACTCACACAGATTCTGAACCCTAAACCCTGAACTCCTAACGCTAAACCCTGATGAAACCCCAAAACCTTTTACAAATTGGAATTGGGCTTGAAGTTGCACACTCCATTGGGAGTGGTTCTGAACTAGGCGTTAGGGCTTAGGGATTGTTTGACTCTGAAAAGATGCTCAAAAGACAGTTTAGGGTTTAGGGTCTAGGTCGCCCCTAAACCCTAAGCCCTCGAGGCCAAAGGGGCCAGAACAAGCCGGTGCTTCAGCACCGCTGGCTGAATCATCTCCTGCGGTCTGGGAGGAAAGGGTTTAAGGAGGGGGCTAGGGGTTTAGGGTCGAGGGTTTGTAGTTTATGGCCTTATAGGGTTTAGGGTTTAGGGTTTAGGGTTTAGGGTGTAGGGTTTAGGGTTTAGGGTTTAGGGATGGGTTTAGGGGTTCAAGGTTCAGGGTTTATAGGTGTTATAGTATATAGGACTTATGGTTTTTTGGATTGTAAGGGTTTGCCGGGCAGGGTCCGAAATCCCAAAGGAGTCGAACCTGAATACCCTCAGAGCCAACAATGTCTAAAGATGATGGGCGACCCTAATCCCTAAACCCTAAACCCCAAACCCTCAACCCTAAACCCTAAACCCAATGTCTTGGCGGGTAACCTACAGGGTGTGGGAGGGGGCCGGGGGGGGGGGTTCAGGGTTCAGGGTTTAGGGCTGCCGAGCCCTAAGCACGGAACCCTAGACCCCCCGGAGCCCTCGAAGCATTCCCCAGATCCTAAACCCCAAACCCCGAAGCCTAAACCCTAATGCCCCAAACCCCAAACCCTAAACTCTAAACCCTATAAACCCAAAACCCTAAACCCTAAACCCTACACCCCTAAACCCCAAACCCTACAACCCTAAACACTAAACCCCAAACCCTACACCCCAAAACCCCCAAACCCCAAACCCCAAACCCCTAAACCGCAAACCCTAAACCCCAAACCCCCCAAACCCTAAACCCCAAACCCCAAAACCCTAAATCCCAAACCCTAAACCCTAAACCCTAAACCCCTCTCCTCCACTGCAAGCTGCATGCAGCTCGCCAGCAGGCGGCTCGCGGCCTCCCCAGGCGAGGGACCCCTCTTTAGGGTTTGGTGTTTCGGGTTTAGGGTTTAGGGTTTCGGGTTTAGGGTTTAGGGTTTAGAGTTTAGGGTTTAGGGTTTAGGGATTAGGATTTAGGGTTCAGCATCGCAAGTTCGAGCATTTACTAGGCCAGCAGTGTCTGTAGGCTCCGAGGTCTGCCAGGGTTTGGGGGTTTGGGGGTTTAGGGTTTAGGGTTTAGGGTTTAGGGTTTAGGGTTTAGGGTTTAGGGTTTAGGGTTTAGGGTTTAGGGTTTAGGGTTTAGGGTTTAGGGTTTGGGATTTAGGGTTTTGGGGTTTGGGGTTTAGGGTTTAGGGGTTTGGGGTTTGGGGGTTTGGGGTTTTGGGGTTTAAGGGCATTAGGGTTTGGGGTTTGGGTGCGTATTGTCTCGGACTTCCGGCAACAGCTTTGCAGGCTACAGGGTCAGAGGCTTGGTGTGAGAAAAGTGCGTGATTCGTAGTTTCCCGGAACCTGCGAAATGTGTGAAGCAAATTCGATTCCCAGATCATGGCCTGCAAGCTGTAGTTGGAGTCTGCGAAGCACGTGTGATGCAGGGCTTAAGGTTCTACAAGTAGGGTCTAGGAGTCTAGGGTGTAGAGTGTAGGGCTTAGGGTCCTAGGGTGCAGGGTGCAGGGCTCAGGGGAGTACTTGCCCGGATGTCAGGCTGTCAACTGCTATCACTCCTGTGATGCCAGCAGGGCCGCTGAAGAGTGCACACGCGCGCCGTGCGCTAGACTTCAGATCACGAGTGCGGGCCTTCACAAGGGGTATAGGGATGGGCTATTTTAGGCCTTAGAATCTCCAGAATGAGCTCTATAAAGGGCCTTTTAAGGGATTATAGGGTATAATACTATAAAGGGCCTTTTAAGGGATTGTAGGGTATAATGGCCCATACTGGTAGGGCCGATGGCAATCGGAACTTGGCTGCCGGAAAATTGCTCTCTTGGGCAGTCGAGAATCACTCTGTACAAAAACCATCTGAGCTTTGTCGCATGCATATTCTTTGAAAGGCTCACAGTTATGCTGATATGTCTGCAAATCTGAATGGAAACGTATTGTTAGGTGCTTCTTTTTGCTCGACCTCTGTCAACTTTTCTGGCAAAGCTGAGCGTGTCACACGTGAATGCTCTTCCCATGATATGCTGGACAACGACTCGGAACGACAATCAGTTTTTGACATTGACTGCTCTCTGCAAAGATAGAGGTCATCATTCAGAGGCTGGGCGCTGAACAAAGAGACGCTCCTGTGGCACATCATGGTGGGCTAAGGCTCCTCACTTCTTCGACCAGACGCAAGTCCGACCTAAACCCTAAACCCCAAACCCTAAACCCCAAACCCTAAACCCCAAACCCTAAACCCTAAACTCTAAACCCCAAACCCCAATCCCTAAACCCCAAACCCCAACCCGACATCGAAACTTCTCCCCCACCTCCTGCAGATGAAACTCCCAACCCTCCGTGTCGAAGAGGAGGACTTCTTCCTGCAGTTGCTGCGAAGGAACGTAAACTCAAGGGTTCAGGGCCATAAGGGGGTAATTCAGGGTTAAGGGTGTAGGGCTTTATCGGGTTAAGGGCTAAGGTCTTACTCAGGGTGTAGGGTTGAGGGTTTAGGGTTTAGGGTTTAGGGTTCTTTACCTGAGCCTGTTTTGGGTTCAGGGCTTGAGTGCGGGTTCCTTAACAGCAACCCAGCTTCCTGCACGCCTGCCGTCGTCCATGCGCTGCATCGCCTTCAGCAGGGACTTTACGGCTTGGGGCTTCGAGCTTAGGGATTTAGGGTTGAGGGATTTAGGATTTAGGGATTTAGGGATTTAGGGATTTAGGGATTTAGGGATTTAGGGATTTAGGGATTTAGGGATTTAGGGATTTAGGGATTTAGGGATTTAGGGATTTAGGGATTTAGGGATTTAGGGATTTAGGGCTTACATGGGTTTACATAACCCTAAACCCGAAACGTCGAACCCGAGTAGAGACCCTAAACCCTAAACCCTAAATCCTAAACCCTAAACCCCAAACCCTAAACCCTAAAACCTAAACCCTAAACCCTAAACCTGGCATCTGCTGCCGGGTGGCTTCTTGTAGACTTGCACTCCGCGCGTGCAGGGCTTCAGGAAGTCTTCCTGAGAGAGGGTTTTTGGGGTTTAGGGTTTAGGGACCATGGAATACTTGCGGCTCTCTGCTTGTCTTCCCAGAGCATCGAATTAGCTTAGGGGTGGCAAGGAGCAGCGTCTGAAATGGCACAGCAGCAACCACCAACCAAGATGAACTTCAAACCCTGAACCCTCAACCCAGAAGCCCGAAGAACCCCAAAACAGCAAGGACAAACCCACAAAGCCTAACGACCCTAAGCCCAAGTCACCAAGTCAAAAGTCCTTAAACCCACCAGCCTACAACAAGAGACCCTAAACTACAGAACAATAAACTTTAGGGTTTAGGGTGTAGGGTTTAGGGTTTGGGGTTTGGGGTTTAGAGTTTAGGGTTTAGGGTTTAGGGTTTATCCTTAAACCCACCAGCCTACAAGCCTACAACAAAAGCCCGCAAACCAAAAAAAAAACAAATTCAAACCAAAACATAAGCCCCCAAAGCCCCCAAAGCCGAAAGCATTGAACACCAAAAGTGCCCCTCATCCAGACCCCCTCCAAATTCCTTAAACACCTTCCCTAAGCCCTAAAACCCGACTCCGTCAACCAAAGCCCTTTGTGCCCTTCTGTTTCAGGGGCGCGTCCATTCGACTCGATATCAGAATCGTCTATGGAAGAAGAGAGCCTACAACTTCAATGATCTGACCAAGAAGCCTAAACCTTACTTGTCCAATAACCTAGGAACAAAAAGGTTGACGTATCCTATTCCCACTAGATAAGGAAACCCAGACAGAATAAACTTCTACTATTGGCCAAGTGAGGAACTCCTGCAACTCCTAACCACTCAACCCTACACCCTCAACCCTGGCCTAAAACCCTAAACCCAAAACCCTAAACCCCAGACTAAGACAAAGCAGAACCCATACAACTTCAAACAGCTGACCCCAAAAGGCATTAAACCCTAAACCCTAAACCCTCCTGGGAATGCCAGGCCTTGGCCGGCCGCGACGAGTCTCCGAGCTCGTGCAGCACGTCGTTCACCAAAGTCGACTTCCCCTGGCAAAACTGTGGAGCTTAGGGTTTAGGGTTTAGGGCTTAGGGCTTAGGGCTTAGGGCTTAGGGCTTAGGGCTTAGGGTTTAGGGTTTAGGGTTTCGGGGTTTCGGGGTTTCGGGGTTTCGGGGTTTTCGGCTTGAGGGTTATCAGAGTGCTGTTGTTGCACTTTTGAGACCAATCTCAAAGAGGCAGGTTTGAAGGCCCCTCCTGTCGAAGCCTTTGCCGAGCGTTGCAAGTTCTTCAACTTGAAGCTATAAGGACACGAAAGACGCGGAGGGCTCAAAGCCATGTTCTGGCGAGCGGTCGCGTTTGAAACTCATTTACTGGGACTCAGACTACTCCCTGAACTCTTTGGTTCTTCCCTCTGGGAAGCCGGCTTCAGGCGAGCAGTTGCGTTTTGAAATGGATTTCCATCTACTGGGAGTCAGACTACTCCCCGGACTCTTCGGTTCTTCCCTTATGGGAAGCCGAACTGGAAAAGACCTACTCAGACTCAGACTACGGGCGGCCATCTATGTATATCTCCTATTCCTAAGAACAGAATAAGGATATTCCTGGGCATCCTAGCTATTCAGTGTCTCGCTGTCGCAGGTGGGCAATCTCAGAGGATGACTGGCGGCATGTCAGGAAGAGACCCATGCACAGGTGGAAGACCACCATGGCCACGGACATCCCTATCCCAAGCCATGCATACCATGCGCCACCGAAGAACACGATGTCAAGGAGGCCGATGATGAGCTCTGGGATGTCTTCCACGATGCGCAGTCCGATGTTCAGGGGTTGACGGAACTCTTGCAAGTCTTCCACATCCTCCTCCGTCAGCTGCAATGCGACGAAGACGTTGAAGAAGGAAAGCTCCAACGCAGCCGCCTGATTCACGATGCCACTCTCTCCCGGTGCCGGCAGGCGGAAGGTGATGCCAGCTGCCAGCACCCAGGAGCACATGGGCAGCACGGGGCACAGCATGGCCATTGCCAAGACGGCCTTTTCGCCGCCGAGGGCGCCCACGAGGAGGGTGATCGCCATGACAAGTGCCAGGAGCCTAGCAGCAACACAAGAATGCAAACGGTGCGCCCTTTTTACGATCCCGAATCCTAACCCTCAAAAAAGATAATAAGGGTACTACCGGGAGTGCAAGGCACACAAAGAACAGGATGAAGCGGCCACGGAGTCGGCGACATTCGCCTGGTGGCTGTTCTGGCTGTTCGCTCAAAAGACGCTGCAGGTAGAACGCTGAAGTCCAGGCGATTGTTAAGCCGAAGGACACCAGGGCAGACACCCACAGGAAGTTGCTCAGAGCGGCGCAGCCAACCGCTGCGCAGCTCAGGTGCTGCATCTTGTAGATGTCATACCTGCCGCAGTTGTCCAACTGATCCACGACGTGGCAGTTTGCGTTGTAGACCTCTGCATCCGCTTCGCAGGTGGCGTTGTCTTCCAAACCTGCCTGGCAGAGAGGCAGCCCAGGAATGTCCGTGTCGGGCGGGCATTGGTAACTCTTCACGGGCATGAGCACACCCGAGCCGCAAGTCACCGAGAAGCTCACCAGGGTCGAGCGCTGGTAGGCCTCCATTGCGTACAGCATCCTCGGCACTTCGGGGATACGGCAGCATGACTTTAAAGATTCAGGGCCGCAGGGGTTTGGTTGCATGAGCTCGGGGCTTTAAAGTGCGGGGCTTCTAGAAGGCTTAACGACTTCGGCAGCGAAGGTCGTGCCCGGCACAGACTTGTCTGTCCCAAGCGCTGCAAGATGCTGCAGCCACATGGGTAGTTCTCTAAATTAGGGTCTGTTTGGGCTCCCTATATAACACGGCCGAATACGGCACCCTGATAATAAGGACCAAAAAAGACCATAGTTTAGAGGAAGTACCCACATGTCAATCTTCCAGCTGGGTAGGCATTGCGAGAGGTACGATATGTTGACCGCCACAAGAGGTTCTGGCACATGTGAATGCGCCCGCCCCATTCTCCACCTGCCCCCAAACCGTAGGGCCGTAAACCCTCTCAGACCCCAAAGCTCTAAAACCCTCCACCCTCAACTCTGATTAACCCTTGAACCCCCTAATCAGACCCCCCAAAAGCCCCTCCTAAACCCAAATCTCTGTCGTCCAAGAGGCGTTGAGACTAAGTTTCCCGACTCCAGAAGCATGTTGACGGCCAGGATGTAGGGCGATCGTTTCATTATCGTCCGCACCCTCATCACTCCAGCCTGTCCCCCTAAAGCTACGTGTTCCGCAGCCGTGGCTTTGCCAAAGGTCTGGGCGCTGGGCGTTGTTGCATCTGTTGGGTTTTTTGCGGTCCCAGCTGGTTCGGTGTTGGCCCTTCTCAGGCCGGCTGAAGCCGGAGGCGCCACCATGGCAAACTCAACCGGCATCGTGGGGTTTGCTGGGTTTGCTGAGCCCTGGCCTGCCCTGGACAGGCGTAACATTGCCTTTGGCCTGGTTCCCGAGCGTCGTTGGGCGTATTGGGCTTATTGCGCTTGGCTGTGTTGCCACAGATCCGGGTTCGCTGCCATCAGCCGCCCTGCCTGGTTCTGTGTTGGGCACGGGTGGAATGTCCGGAAGCGACACTCCATGTAACGGCCCAGATGATTCCTGTCCTGGATGACTTTGCCTGCCCTGGCCTTCTGCACCTCCTGCCCGGCACAACTGCTGGATCATCAGCACCGGCACGGCCCAGCCGCCAAGTAGCCGCCCAGGGCGGCCAGAGACCAGGCGCCGATATCCGCAAAGGCGAACTCCGTGGCCTCCAGGGTCGAAGGAGCCTCGGTGCGGGTGCTGGAGCTGGTGCTGCTGGTCCTGGTGGCACTTGTGCTGGTGATGGTTCCGGTGGTACTAGTAGTGGTGCTGGTGCCCCACCGGTAGATGCTGGAGTCAACGTTGTAGGAAATATCGTCGCGAAAGCTGGCCAGTGCCAAGTACTGCACGCCATCAATCATGAGGGCGGACGCACCATGTGCTCCAAATGTCGGAATCTTTTGAATCTCCAAGAACGAGCTATCGCCAGAGTCCCACCTGTAGATTTTGGAGTCCTGGTAGAAGGAACCGGAAACCCAATCAAAGTGGTTGGCAACTACCAAGTGCTGCACGCCATCACTGACGAAACCTGCCCAACTGCGTGCACCAACAGTCGGAATGGCCTGGATGACTTCAAACTCGTCGATAGCACTGCTCCACTTGTAGATCGTGGAGTCGGCGCCAGCGACTGCCAAGTGCTGCACACCTTCGATGGCGAAGGCATACCACCCGCGTGCGGCACTGGTTGGGAGCTTTTGGAATACCATAAACAAGTGCAACTCACTTTTCCATTTGTAGATGACGGAGTCAGAGTCAATGTCGAAGGAAGCTGGTTTGTAGCTGTTGGCGACTACCAGGTGCTGCACGCCGTCAATGGTAAAAGCCTCCCACCAGTATGCTCCATTGGTCGGGATACTCTGAAGTTCCACAAAGGATCCATTTACACCCCCCCCCCCCCCCCCCCCCCCCATTTGTAGACTTTCGAGGCAACGTTGTAGGTTTCCCCGTTGTAGTGATTCGCCACGGCCAAGTGCTGCACCCCATCTATCGAGAAAGCCGCCAATGCCATTGCTCCACTTGTCGAGATGTTTTGAAAAACTTCGAACATGCCACTGGCGTCATCCCACTTGTAGATCTTGGAGGCAATGTTGTAGTTCCCGGAATCGTCCCTGTGATTGGCCACGGCCAAGAACGGCACACCAGCTACGGTGAAGGATTGGGCTGCCGCTGCTCCATTGCTGGGGATTTTTTGCACTTCCAGGAAGGAACCGCCTGCGCTATCCCACTTGCGGATTTGAACGTGATTGCTGTACGAGGAACCATTATAATACTGGGCCAGTGCTAAGTACTGCGCGCCATCCATGCTGAAAGCAGCCCATTGCCGTGCTCCGCTCGATGGAACGAGTTGAGCAAGCTCCATCTCGATGGCGCCGGCAGCCCCGAACACCACCGAAAGAAACCAGGGCTGTGACCGCCAGCTGCTGCGCATCGTACCAGCTGAACCCCATGAACTGAACTTTGCGCTTTGGGAGCCCAAACCCTCTTGAGCCGACGAAACACCGGGGTGACGGACATCCCACCCCGAGCACTAAGCCCGAGAACCTTCCTAAAACATCTTTCCATAGCTCCAAACACATATTTGCGACCACCTCGCAGCTCGCTTAGCAACGATGCTCATAGTGGAAGCGCAGCTCTATATGGCCGTGACAAGTGCCGGACAAGCTCAGCAGCCTCCGATTTCAGTTCTGACTGTCTAATCGCCTATTGAGCTATAGAAGACTTGTTCTAGGTAAACCCTACACCCTACATCCTCTCTGCCACTGCTAGTCCCGCCTGCCGGGCCAAGCCGAAAAAGAAAACGGGGCACTTCTTGATGAAGTCCTCTTTTGCACATGGGGGGGTGTTCAAAATTGTAGGGAGAGAGGAGGGACGGGGGGGGGGGTTCGGTGTTTTAGGCTGCCAAAGGGCTTGTAGTTTAGACCCAATCTGCTCCTTTCCGGTAGTATTCTCGGCATTCTTCTGAATCTCCGCTATCGCATAGAGTCAGTCCACTTGCAGTCTTGCAGTTTTGCCTTGGAAATTCTTAGGTGCCCCAAACCCTAAACCCTACTTAGGATGATTTCAGCAATTCCAAAAACAGCCCTCGAGGCTGCTCTCAGCGTGGTGGTACAGGCCTGCGTCATGCGGGGGGGGGGGGGGCTCCCTACCATAAACCCTAAACCACCCTCAACCCTCAACCCTAAACCCGAAACCCTAAACCCTAAAAACCCCAAAGCCTGGCTTAGGAACCCCTGACATGGGAGTCCCCACCCTTGACGCGGGTTTGGGGCTCCCTGGGATGGACTGGCAACCCTAAAGCCGACACCCGAAACCCTTAAACCCTAAACCCCTAAACTTTTAAAGCCTAAACATCCCCACAAACTAAACCCTTAAACACCTAGAGCTTGAAGCCGCGATGGCATCTCCTGATTGTCTACTTGCTGGGTGATGAATGTAATTGGGGCTTGTGACCTAGCGCAGGGTTTGTGGGGGGCACCCCCATAGACTGCAAACCCTAGACCTAAACCCTGAACTATGAACCCTAAGCTTTCAAATCCTTCGCGTTCTCCGTGGCTGCGTCTATCGCAGGGCCGAGTGGCAGCTCCATGTCTTTGAACTCCTCCGCCGGTTTGGGGTTGTGGGGTATTGGGGTTTTGGGGTTTTGGGGGCTTCGGGTGTGTGCGTGTGAAGCTTAGCTTGAAGTTTCTAGTACGAGGCTTGTGGGGCTACGAAGCCTCAACGCGCGTCAATCGCCTGAAGCCTCCGGCAAGTCTCAGTTCTCCAAACGGGGTTGTTGGATCCCGGAAACCCTGAACCATAAACCTTAAACCATAAACCCTAAACCCTGACCATGACATCGGACCACTGTTCATTCAAAGCAAAAACCCCGGAGCCTCTTGGATGATGTCGCCACGCATCAGGCACTCGACGGATTGCTCCTGAGACCGCAGCCTAGGGTTTAGGGCTAAGGGTTTAGGGTTGAGGGTTTAGGGTTTGTAGGGTTCAGGGTTTATAGGGTTTTTGGGGTTTATAGGGTTTAGGGTTTCGGGTTTAGGGTTTAGGGTTCCAGAGGCCCTAGAAAGCGCCCTGAAGCCTGTGCCTCCACATATATTTGAATCCCATTCCACATGCGAAACCCCTATGAGGAGCGCTACGGAAACCCTAACAAATCCGCAATGATGCCCTCAACTAAACCCAAGAGTAACCTAGGAATCAAAGGGGAACCCTTTTGGGTTTGATCCCTAAACCCTGTGAGAAAAACAAAGGGTGCCGTGTTTAAAGGGGCTCATCAGGGAACCTAAACCCCAAAAAAGAGGACTGAGGGCCTCCTCTGGGTCCTAGTTCCACCTTGTACCATCCCAAGCCCACAGAACCCTGACACCCTGAAACCCTATAACCTTTGCCCCCAAAACCCGAAACACCCTGAAGCCCTAAAAACCCAAAACCCTAAGCCCTCAAAGCCCTAAACACCCTAAGCCCCACCTCTGGC